TGCCTGCCTGGAGCCAGGGAGGGCCTTGGCGGGGCTTCCTCGCACTCCTGCCGGCCTTGCAGGTCCACCGCCGGGCCCCTAATATCAGGGGGTGTGGCATATGCTAATGAGTTATGCTAATGAGTTCCCCTAGCTCTTTTTCTACGAAACGACCCCTGCATGAATCTACCTTGTACCAAGTCAGGTTATTTGGTCTATTAAGCTCCTCATTGTCTGCTCTGACTGACAGAGGGCTGAGGTAGATTGGGAAGTGAAAGTGGCCCTGTAGCTAGCCAAGTACTCAGTATGGCCCAACAGGCCAGTGTTGGAGGAGCCACTAGGCTCAGCAGTGCCAACAAATGGGCATTTGTTCACCCTTTGCGTCATTTTGCAAGCTGGTAGCAGTGCAGGGGGAGGCAGTTGGTGACCTGCAGTAGTTGCCTTTGCCACTGTAGGATCTGAGCCCAATGGCCCAAGAGGCACTCAGGGAGTTGCTGGGGCTTGGCTCTGCTTGCTTCCTGCTGCAGCCCATCAGAAAATTTCCCTGTGGCTCTGGCTAGGGCTCTCCAGAACACAAGGCCTTTGGTATCCACTGCCACCCAATGCTAAAACTAGAGATGTGAAGTACTGTTCCATGCAAAGCACGTGCTCTGCCACTCAGCCACAGTCACTCACTGGCTGTTTGACAGAAAACTGCTAAGTATTTTGAATCACTCTCATGGCAGCAAAGGTGACTGCTCTTGAAGGTGACTTCCTTGTATGATACAGTTTCAGCAGGTGAGTGGCCTTTTAGCTGAGTCATAATCTGTAGTGCTTTCTTACAAAAGTATTCAGGGAATTCCCATCCGAGAAATGTTCCCATGTTTTGAGAAGGAAGGTTGTTGAAGTAAAAGCCTGACCTTTTAAAAATGTATGATGCATAAGTACATTATGTGATTTAGCTCTTAATGTCTGTGATTAAGAATTAAGATTTTTGGATGCTGTACCTTGCTTTATACAGTGATCTGGATCCATTTTAATTCTGTTTTCATTGCTGAATTCCCATTGATTGCAAAAGTGTCAGAAATGCACCTCTGCTAATAATGATGACATAATCCTGTGCTTTTCCCATGTCGATACGTAATAAATTCTATGACGTCTAGGCAACTGAATTCTAATCATGTAAATGGTCTCCTCCAATTAAGCCCCAACTGTTGTCTTTAACACATACTACTCTTTTGAATCACCTATCCTGTTCTTGACCATAAGGCTATCTGCTCCCAGAATTCCAATTTTCAGTTTCTCCCCTGCATTCTATTGTAATCTTTGACCAACAAAAACAGCCGGAGTGAATCTAACCATTTCAATAACACTTTAAATTGACAGTCCTGTGAAAATTGGTCTGTAAATGGATGGAAGCTTTTGGACATGTTTGGGTGAATGAATATACCCTAGGAAACTATGCAGTAATGCTTACTGCAGGTATTTTGTTATTTCCTTCATTTATATACCCTGCCTTTCTTCACAAAGTGGATTCCTGGCTTACAGTATTCTCCTCCCCTCCATTTTACCCTTACAACAAACCTGAAAAATAGGGTAGGCTTGAGTGTATGTGACTGACCCAAGATCATCCAACAAGCTTCCATGGCAAAGTGTGGGTTTGAACCTGGGTTTTCCAGGTTTTTGTCCAACAATCTAACCAGTACACCAACCTGGCTGGTTTTGGCTTTAAAAGAAGTTGGTTTTAAAAAGATGTTAACTGTGCCACTTAGTTTCCAGTCTTCCTCATAAATCTGTTGCTTTAAGCACCTGACAGTAAGTTGAGTTTCAGGTGGACAGTTGTGCTGGTCTTCAGTAGAAGGGCTAGATTTAAGTCTAGTAGCACTTTAAAGACCAGCAAGGTTTCCAGGGTATGAGCTTTTGTGAGTCAAAGTTCTGATGAAGGGAGCCTGGACTCTTGAAAGCTTATAAACTATTATTCAGTGAGTAGAGAGAATGGTATACACGCACATTTTAAAGCAAGGAACTTTTGCCTGCATTCTTACAATTTGCACTATATTCAGTTTTCTTTATGAGTAAAAGGAGGGGGTTTGTCACATATACCTTTCTTGAGAAACAGTTACGCGTGGGAGTAGTACCAGACAGGAAACCTCTCTGCCATGAGGACAGTGTAGCTAAGTATAGACCACCACAGTCCTGTTCAAGCCTAATTTAGATAAAACAGTTCATTGGATGAGTAACAAGTGGGTAGATGGAGGGGTTTTTCAACTGCTAAAAACCAAAGTACTATGTTTCCTTTGGGGGGGTTAAGTAACAGTAATTTTTTATATAAGCATACACAATAGTTTTCAGCCATTCTGTGGTGACTGTCGTTCTTTTTCACTGGTGTTCATGCAACATGCCTAGTCACCCAGAAGTGACATAGGCACGTTGGTGATGTTGGGGGCAACATTATGTTTTTGGGGCAAAACTCTATGGTTAAAATCAGCCTCAAACCATAGAGTTTTGCCCATAAACCAGAGTGCCCCACTCCCTATGTCACTGATGTGCCTATGTCATTTCTGGGTGACGTAGGCATGTCGCGTTTATTTCCAATGACACTGCTGTGGGGGGGGTTGGGGGGGGTTCCTCCTGCCGGCCAGTGGGCAAGGAGCCCACAAAACAGGAGAATCCCCCAACTGAGGAATGGCAACCCTGGATGTGTTCCACTCTGAGAATGCCAGCCCCACTGCTGTCAGGGAGCATGAGGGTCAAGGTGAAACTGGGCTCTGTGCTGAAGAAAGGGGGAATGTGTCCTCAGAAATGACACCTTCTACAGTTTGTGAACAGGCATCCTTACACACCAAGGAACCATCCCTGGAAAGGGAGGAAGGGGGGCTCTTGGTGGTTGGTGATTCGATCCTTAGGCGTTTAGATAGATGGGTTGCGAACCCATGTACTGACCGCATGGTGACTTGCCTGCCTGGTGTAAGGGTAACAGACATTACACTTGGTCTAGATAGGCTGGTAGTAAGTGCTGGGGACGAGCCAGTGGTTGTGGTGGTACATGCTGGCACCAATGATGTGGGGAAATGTAGTTGTGTGGTCCTGGAGGAAAAATTTAGGCTGCTAGGTAGGTGTCTCAAGGCCAGGACCTCCAAGGTAGCCTTCTCAGAAGTGTTGCCTATTCCATGCACAGGGCCAGCTAGGCAGGCATGAATTAGGAGTCTCAATGTGTGGATGAGATGATGGTGTAGGGAGGAAGGGTTTCAATATGTTAGGCACTGGGATTCTTTTTGGAACAAGTGAGACCTGTACAAAAGAGATGGCCTCTACTTGTTCTAAGAAGGAACCAGGTTGCTGGCATTTAAATGGAAAGGGTGGCAGAGCAGTTTTTAAACGAAATCCTGGAGGAAAGCTGACAGATAAAATCGTCTCTGGTTTAGAATGGCTCATCTCTAAGAGATGAAGGGGTAGCTACTACTGTTCAAGAGAGAAGTAGATTAGGACTGGCCACTGAGAGGGTGACAAACAATACTGACTGGCAAGGTCTAGAGGCCACAAGAGGAAGGTTGCAGGCCTAACATGTCTGGGGAATTATAGATGTTTATATGCAAATGCTAAAAGTGTCCAAGGTAAAATGGAGGAGCTGGAATGCTTAGTGTCAGAGGAGAACATAAACATTGTGGGTATTTCAGAAATTTGGTGGGATCGGGAGTTTTGCAAAAAAGATAAGTTGGAATTGTGACAGCGAGAAGTGCCTGATAAGCGCTTATAAGTCAACAATTGCGAGGAGGACCCATAGAGAGTCTGGGAGCGAATATAAAAGCGAAAATGAAATTGATACCATTCTCGAAAATGGGGACCTCCGGGGCATGAAAGGAAGAGGATTTATAGTACATGAACTGAGCGTTTTAACAACAACCCGAAGGAGGATCTAACAAGCCGGAAGGAGAAGACAACAGAGGAAGCTCCTCCACGTCAGCGATAGTAAAAGTACCCAGCATGCAAAGAAGCGGTTCTGAATGTGCACAGAAGAGATCCTTTTTATTAACAGAATCTCAAAGGAACATTACTAACATACTAACAGAGATTACATGTAACAGGACTAAGAAAAGAAGTTTGGCAACACACAGAAGAAGCCCAAGAAGATTAATTGGACATTACTAACAGTTTAATTTACCAGTTTATATATCACTCAGCTTTCTCTTTCTCCCACTGTCTACCCCTCCCTTTTTTTCTTTTAAGCGAAATACCTCCCCTTTTTAGGGGAGCCAATAAAACCTTTATTAAAAAAAAAAAAGAAATTTGGTGGGATGAGGATAATCAGTGGGGTACAGTGATGCCTGGATATAAATTGTATCGGAAGGATAAGGAGGGAAGGGTCGGAGGTGGAGTGGCACTGTATGTCAGAGAGGGTACACAGACCAGTAAAATTGAGAATCTAAGAGAAATAGATATGCTTATAGAAACGCTGTGAATGGAAATAGTGGGTCCAAAAGGAAGCTTAACTCTGGGAGTTTATCGCCCACCAGATTCCAGTCTGACATTCTAGCCATTGCAACACAGTTCCCTCTGATGTCACAAGAGATTCTAGGTTGCACTCAGTTCATGCAAGGACAGCCTCGCCCTGCCTAAGGCAGAAAGGCAACCTAGGTGTGTGCCTATTCTTTCTATGATTCAATTCTGTTTCCTTCCCTTTTTTATCCTACTTCACCCATAACGAACCCCGGTTCAATACAGTTTTCCCCTAACCATCAGCCTCTTTAGCAAGTGACGAATCATGATGGAAACGTAAAGGGACAGAGGCAAGTCAGTGGAGTAATATACATTTCTACACTGATTCTCAAAATGTTTAACCTAGGTGTTACTAAAGAGCTGTTAGTTAAATCAGCTTCAGCAGTGTACAGTAGTAACACTATGATTTAGATACGCTCATAGATCTTTGGTATTAAGCTAGAAAGAGAGAACAGATAACAGAAAGAATTCCATGCATTAAAAACTTGTTTCTCTTGCAGTACCATAAGTTCTCCGGTTGTTTGCTTCCCCCCCTCTTCTTACAGCTGCTAGATGTTGTCCTCTACTTGGCAAATCACAATTTGCGATTGCTTGTGCTGGGGCGTAAACACATGCTGAAAGGATCTCGCTTTTGGGACCGAAAAAATATGGCTGCTATGCAGAAGAAAGCAGACTTCTTCTTTACTGAAAATGTGTACGTACTGTTGCGAATGAACTGTAGCCATTTTTTCAGACCAGAAAAGTAAATGTGGTGGATTCCAAGCTAAACAAATGGTTGGCCCTAGCATCAAAACTGGCCTCTTAACAGAAACTAATCATAAACAACAGTTAAGTCATGTAACAGTGAACTGTATTGTTGTCATTGTACATTCCACTAACAATGGTGTATGGATGTAAAGGAGAAAATGAGAGAAACTAAATAATGAAGAGTTTGATCTTTCAGCTGAATGCTTGCAAAGCTTTCAACTTCATTTCTGCACCATGTTGCTCCCTTAAGACTTTTCAAAACTGGTGCCATCAATTTTGTAAATCTCTGGAATGAGAGAGGCAGCTTTAAGAAGCCCAGCTTTATACTGATAAGTACTATATCAGCTTTTTTGTCTTAATGGCTAGGCAGGTACATTTCCTGTGTTCAAATGTGGTTGATCATCAAAGCAGATGATCATCAGTTAAATACAATGCAAGGCTACCACATAGCAGAGCTACAAGGAAATGGATGGATTTGTTTTACATTTACCCTGGGGAGCGGAAAGTATTGCAGAATATGCTATACAGTAGATCAAGAATATGTTGTTGAATAGATCAAGAATATTTTGTATACTTACTTGCACTACAGGAGTCCAGATGAATGTAGCACTTGTTTTTCTGACAGTGCCATCCTGTGTGGAGTTACTGCAGTCTAAACCCATTCAGATCAGCGGGTTGGATTCAGATCAGCGGGTTGGATCCAGACTAACAGTGAATCCTAAAAATGTTTTCCTGGGAGTAAGCCTAACTGAGTAGATCCAAGTAGGATTCTGAATAGACCTGCTTAGGATGGCACTCTAAATTTTCTGTCAGCAAAATGAGACTTCTGCTTCTCTCTTCCCACTGCAGCCTACTGATCTCCATGAAACACTGCTCATGGGGGACAAGGGATCCTGAGGAGCTACATGAGCAGAGTTTGCAGTGAGAAGGGAAGAATCATTGGAAATTTCCAACTGAGTCTGGATCCAACCCCATGAGTTTAGATTAGAGGACTGCACTGTGTGTTAATCCGCAACCTCTGCACAGTGCTGATGTCTCTCTCAGATGTGTATCACAAATGTATCAACCGATAGTACCGGAAGGAGAAACTTTCTTAAGTTCTGTTTCTTAAAATGTAGATGTTTTGCCAAATAGGAAAAAGTCAAGAATAGTTGTGCAATTAATGACAGCAAACAAAATTTCATTTTGTAGCCATTCACTAAGCTCTGTAGTGTATGATGACTCTTTGTCTTTTCCTTTTCAAGGTCTGAAGATGATCCCTTCCTGCTGTATGCCACTCTTCACTCAGGCAGCCACTGTAAGTTTGTTACCAGAGATCTGTTACGCGATCACAAGGCTTGCCTTCCTGACAGTCTCACTCGACGCCTGTTCTTTAAATGGCAGCGTGGACATCAGATGGTGGTTTCTGATTATGTACCAGGAAGGAGGATAAAGTTTGAGGTATCAGTTCACTGTAGTAATCACTGGTTTGATATGCTCTTGTCAGTGCATCTGATAGTGTATTTAATAAGTGCCCTAAAATGGGGAATGATTTTGGAGGGGGGAATAATTTTTTTACCCTTTGTGGCAGAACTGCCCTGCTCTTACCTGTGAACCCTATTCCTCTGTGTTTTCCAAGGTGTCTGGGCATCAGTGGCCATCCAAGGTCATTGCCTGGCACATGCCACACGCTGGGCTTCACAACACCTTTTCTTTCCCTCTCTTGGTTCATCCACTGCCATGACCTGGACTTTGTAGAAATTGCCTACTGAGAGATCCAGGGCTCCCAGCTTCCCTTCCCTGTTCTGAGTCCTCATCTCTGTGTCTCCTGCTGTCCAGTATCTGGTTACCATGGGGACAGCTTACTGCCTTGTACACCATGGTGGGAGTAGCCACAAGCCAACTGACTGCTTCTCCCCTTCTTCCTGCACTCCTTTTAAAATAGCATGCCCAGAACAATGGAGGTCTCGTGTGGTACAGAGAACCACTACCAGAATTAAAAGTTTTAAAGTATTTATTAAAAAGAAAATGTCCACTCACATACTCTCAGCATAGGGTACCCATTCCCCAGGTGGGGGCGAGGGATCCCCTGCTTTGGGGGGCTTTTACCAGCTGCCAGTTGGCTGGTGGGGGAACTGCACCCCCAAACAGTGATGTCACACAGCAAAGTCCGTGATGTGATGACATCACGTGGAAGTGACATCATCAGGTTGGGGATGTTGTGTAGCGACGCTCTGGTTTTTGGGCAAAACTATTGTTTGAGGGCAATTTTACCATAGAGTTTTGCTCTCATCACCACACGACGTCCCCAAGGAGATGACACCACTTTTGTATGATGTCATCACATTGGGAATGTCGCCATACAACATCACTGTTTGACATCACATTCAAAGTACTCAGTTTGGTATTTTAGTCCCTTAGTATCATAGAATCATAGAATATTAGAGTTGGAAGGGACCTTACAGGTTATCTAGTCCAACCCCCTGCACTCCGCAGGAGCATAGCTGAAAGATAGCCCTACATACCTACAACATACCCGAAAGATGCTCATCCAGCCTCCTCTTGAAAACGTCCAGCAAAGGAGCATCCACCACCTCCCGAGGCAGACTGCTCCACTGCTCAACCACTCTCACAGTTAGGAAGTTTCTCCTGATATTTAGCCAGTAACGACTCCCTTGTAATTTCCACCCATTAGATCTAGTCTTGCAATCTGGAGCAAGAGAGAATAGATCTGCTCCATCTTCTACATGACAGCCCTTCAAATACTTAAAAACTGCAATCATGTCCCCTCTAAGCCTTCTCTTTCCCAGGCTAAACATACCCAACTCTTTCAGCCTTTCCTCATAAGACTTGGATTCCAACCCTCTCACCATCCTGGTTGTCCTCTTCTGGACATGCTCGAGCTTGTCAGCATCCTTCCTAAAATGTGGTGCCCAAAACTGGACACAGTACTCCAGGTGAGGCCTGACCATAGCAGAATAAAGCAGAACTACCACCGCCTGTGATCTGGACACAATGCTTCTGTTAACTCATTTATCAAATCATATAATATTTTATTGTTGAGCAGGTCTACAGAAGTGGCATATTTGAAAAGAGGGAAAATGTATTCTAGGAAATATGCATCATTTGTATTGTTATATATGCTAAAAACTAACATCTCTCTTTATACTCCCCAGCCTATACTGAATTATGATACCATTGTGCAGACTACAGGTAGCACATGGCATATTCCGTATGATGACTGTCTTTTGGAAAGATCTTCTTATGAAGTGCCAACAAAATGGCTTTGTCTTCAACTGAAATAAAGGATCCATTTTTCTAAACTGACATTGTGTGTGTTGTAGCTCTATTATTTTAAACAAGCCAGATGCTGGACATCCATTATAGAATTCACTTTCCATTTCTCTACTACATTTTTTATTCCACCTTTCCTCCAAGGAGCTCAGAGCAGCATACATGGTTCTCCCTTCCTAATTTTGTCCTTACAACAAGCCTATGAGGTAGTTTAAGCTGATAAATAGTGATGGGCTTAAGGTCACCCAGCAGACTTCAGGACAGAGGTGATATATGAATGCAGATCTAGCTCCTTGTCCAGCCCTTTAACTGTTTATTTATTTATATTTATTTATTGTATTTATATCCCGCCCATCCCGTGAACAGACTCAGGGTGGGTAACATCATTTACAATAAATACAGTCAAAATATAAAATTTTAAAACACAGAACTATATAAAACATTAAAATTGGTAGTTACAGCTTAAAATACAAATTCAGCTGGCTATAATGGTTTCTGGCCCATTGATATAGATGGGATGGTGGCCAGCTATCAGTGGATACATGAAGCAACCTCAGGGAGACCATATATGGGTGCCCACTGCCTCAGCTAAAGGCCTGGCAGAACAGCTCCGTCTTGCAGGCCCTGCAGAATTGAAGAAGATCCCACAGGGCCCTAATCTCAATAGGGAGCATGTTCCACCAGGCTGGGGCCAGGGCAGAGAAGGCCCTGGCCCTGGTTGAGGCAAGACAGACACCCTCAGGCCAGGAGAAGGAGCAGGAGAAGGCTCCCAGAGTCCCTTCCTGGTCCGCTCGCAAGGGCACGGGGGGGGATGTTTCAAAGCCTCCCCTTCCTTCTCCTGCCCGCCTGCCAAGACAGACGAGCAGGAGGAGGCTCCCAGAGCCCCCTCCCGTCCCTTCCTGGCCTGCTCTCGGAGGCACGCAAGCCGGGAAGGGCCCAGGAGGGAGCGGGGGGCCTTTCAAACCCTCCCCTTCCTTCTCCTGCCCGCATGCCCAGATGGACAAGCAGGAGAAGGCTCCCAGAGCCCCTTCCTGGCCCGCTCGCCAGACAGGTGAGGCAGGGGGCTTTCAAGGCCTCCCCCTTGCTTCTACCCGCCCACCGAGGCGCATCACCAGGACCCCGCACTTGCCCAGGCCCTCTTTCTAGACCTGGTTGCATTCATTTCCGCAACGGGGCTTTCTCCTAGTTAGTATATAATGCAGAACCCATTTTTCCTTTATGCCCACCACTGATTTGTGACAATCACAAAATTAAGTGACTTTTTTCTATTATTAGATAGACTGCTTTCTTGAAAAGAAAATCCTTTAAAAGTATTGGTATTTAGAAACAAATCGTTCATCAGATGGAACATTATCAGAAGCTGTGTGTGTGGGGGGGTGTCATTTGAGGAGTGAAGACTGAGTTCACTATGCAGCATTAAAAGGTACACTGATCCTTGTTTGTAGATGCATTTGCATACACCCAAACATAACTCTATGAGAATAAATATGCTGAGAAAGAGGTAAGCTTATTCAGATATGGGCTACTGCTGTCCTCAGTAGTTTTCGTTTTCTTCCGTAGAACAAAGTTTGAGTCCAGTGGCACTTTTAAGACCAACAAAGTTTAATTCTGGGTATAAGCTTTCGTGTGCACACGAAAGCTTATACCCAGAGTTAGACTTCGTTGGTCATAAAAGTGCACTGGACTCAAACTTTGTTCTAGTGCTTCAGACAAACATGGCTACCCACCTGAATCTTTCATAGGACAACATAATAAATGAGCTGCAAGATGGAGCGCAGTTGGGTTGGTTCTAAAACTGATCCTCACCCCAGACTCACTGGGGGGCACTGGGCAGGTATCCTCAACTGTATCCAGCAGAACAGAGATATAGCCTGTACAGTTGAGAAAGAAGAAGAGATTGGATTTATACCTGAAGGCGTCTCAGAGCGGCTTATAATCCCTTTCTCCTTCTCACAACAGACACCCTATGAGGCAGATGGGGCTGAGAGAGCTCTCTTGAGAACTGCCCTTGAGAGAACAGCTCTGAAAGAACTGACCCAAGGTCACACCAGCAGCTGCACATGGAGGAATGGGGAATCAAACCTGGTTCTCCCAGATTAGAGTCCGTGTTCTTAACCACTGCACCAAACAGTATACACGTCCCTCCTTCCATACACACCTGACTCATCAAAATGGCAGACATAGTGCTGAGTAACAAGGAGAACATGATGTTTCATTAATACCTCTAGTCTTCCCTGTTCTTCAGAGTTTCTCACAGGTATTCAGCATACATCTCTCCATACAGGAGCAAATAATAACTGGAACATTGAATACATCCAGTCTTGCAGCATATTCCTGATCACTTGCATAGAAAAAGGAAAATACAACAGTAATACATGTACGCTATAGTCAAAGATGAAGAGCGAGAACTCTGGAAATAAAGACAAGAAATCTGGTGTTAATGTAGCAAATGATTGGGGGTCAAAGATGCACAATCTAGTCATATGTGTTATTACTCAGAAGTAAATTTTCCAGTGAATTGAGCAGGACTTATTTCCTGTTAAATGTGCACAAGATCACAGTCTTAAGGCTGTTTCACTCATCAGCTTTCAAAATATATTGTAGCTTTCCATTGTTTGTGCCTAGACCAAAACAGTATATCTTGCTGCTACTGTTCAGCCCTAACAGCATATATTACTTGTGTAGTAAAGGTGATGTGGGATGTAACACTTTATGCATCAGACAAAGGCTATGACATGATTATTTATTATTTGCATTTATATCCTGTCCATCCTGCAGGCGGGCTCAGGGCGAGTAACATCATTGAAATAAATACAATTTCAGTTTAAAACATTAAACATTAAAACACAATAAAACATTATAACAATTAAAACAATGGGTGCAGCTTGGAAGAGCATAAGTTGGCTATAAAATTCTGGCCTAATGGTACAATGAGTTAAAGGCCAGTTGTTGATGGTCAGTAGACAGGTGACAGATGGGTGACAGCAACCTCAGGTTTGGCAGAACAGCTCTGTCTTGCGGGCCCTGTGGAATTGAAGAAGATCCCGCAGGGCCCTGGTCTCAATAAGGGAGTATGTTCCACCAGGCTGGGGCCAGGACAGAGAAAGCCCTGGCCCTGCTTGAGGCAAGACGGGCATCCTTCAGGCCAGGGACCACCAGGAGGTGTTGATCTTTTGAGCGTAATACTCTTTGAGGCATAGATAGGAAGAGGCGGTCCCTTAAATATGTTGGTCCCAGGTCATGTAAGGCTTTAAAGGTCAAAACGAGCACCTTGAAGCGAATCTGGTACTCAACTGGCAACCAATACAATTGGCAGAGCACGTGCCTAACGTGAGCCACACAGGCATTGACGTCAGCAGGCATGCCACCGCATTCTGCACCAGTTGTAATTTCCAGATCAGCTTCAAGGTTAAGCCTGCGTAGAGCGAGTTGCAGTAATCAAGTCTGGTCACCGTTGCTAGATCTTGGGGGGACAGATAGGGCTTCAGTAGCCTGATTTGCCTAAGATGGAAGGGGCGAAACGTTACCTTGCCTCCCTGAGCCCCGGGGTGGTGGCTTTGGACTCCTAGGGGTAAATTCCACCTCTCGTGAGAGGTCATTCTTGCTACCCCAGCTCTCCTTCGGGGCTCCTTAAAAAGTTATGGCCCGCGCTGCTGTTCTTGGCGGCAGCTGCGATGCCCGCGCAGGGGCGCGGGGCGAAACATTTGCCTCCGTGCCAGGGCACCGGGCCTGAAAAACGGCCTGCAGAGCCGCCACCCCCCGCCCACCCCTCCTTTTTCAGGCTCCGCGCTAGAATGCTGGCCTGAAAAAGGGCCAGCCAAATGTCAATTTCGGCCCCATTATATCCTATGGGCCATTGATGTCAATGGTGAAAACATAGGGTATATTCTGGGGGCTGGAGGGAGGGGGTTTGAGGGAGAGGCTCCAAACTCGCAGGGTAGCTGCTGGAGCCCCTCCCCAAGATACCAACCAAGTTTGAAGAACATTGGACCAGGGGGTCCAATTCTACAAGTCCCCAAACAGGTTGCCCCATCCCCTCCATTGTTCTCTATGGTGGGAAAAAAGTAACTTTTTTCCCACCATAGAGAACAATGTTTGTGGGGAATATTGGTGAATTTCCTGCATCGTGCAGGGGGTTGGACTAGATGACCCTGGAGGTCCCTTCCCACTCTATGAGTCTATGATTCTATAATTCACCCAGGCTGGCTGTGGGCACACCAGCACCTCTGTCAGGCAGAAGCGCCTGAGATCCTCCCCCTCCCCTTTTCCTTCGCCCGACTTGGAGGCGAAGGGAAGGGAGTGGGAGAAAAGACTGGATCCCAGGTGCTTCTGCCTGTCAGAGGGGCTGGTGCACACTTCTGGTGATGTCGGGGGTGTGGCATATGCTAATAAGTTATGCTAATGAGCTCCTGCAGCTCTTTTTCTACGAAATGACCCCTGCTGCTTACCCTCTACTGTGTGGACTGGTAATTTCAATGTATCTAAAGAAGTATGCATGCACATGAAAGCTTATACCTTGAGTAAAACTTTGTTGGTCTTAAAGGTGCCACTGAAATCGAATTTTATCCTCTTTTCTGGCAGTGCTCCTATGCCTATTCTGTCACCTGCACAGTAGATCTTGTGAGGACACTGCAGCAAGAACCAACCCTGTCTAATTACGGCTTATCGCTGTCCAAAAAAGATGCCCTTGCAAAAAAGGGGGGGGGGACAAAACAAAAGAGACTGCTCTGATCACATTTCGGCTGACGAAAGAAATTCCAGGGAGATGACCTGTTAGCTGTACAGCAGAAATAATGGCAGATTTATTTGTGCATAACTGTCATAATCTTACAAAGTATTAAAAAAATTCCCTCCTCTTATGTTTCTGAGGCTGGGTAGAACGTAAGATTCCCACGTGTGCCATCAGCAAAACGGATGCAGTAACTTTACAGCAACCATAACGCTGGGGGATGCGCATCCTCAGAAAGCAAAGACTTCTATACATACAGCAGAGGTTTTGCTGACTCTTTTG